GTGGTCTGTCGCTTTTTTTCCCGGCTTTTGTATTCTTTTTTCTCTTACTCCCCCCCCCCCCGCCTGTGTTATTTTACGGTGCACTTGACGATTTTCCCTCTTGTTTCGCCGTCGCTCCCGCTTTTCCCGGGAAAATCAAGAATAAGCATCGTATTAAATCATACAGAATTCCGGGAAATGTAAAAAAATTTCGAGTCTCGGGACGATTGGTATTTGGGTAGGGATGGGGCGTTAGGTTAGTCGGAGACTTGAACAGTCGACCTTTGGGGACGGGAGAGCGATTGACTTGAGATAGAGGCTAAGCCATATGAAATTCCATGGTTTTCTATAATTTTCGAGAAACTCCATACTCTTACGTTCATATATATATATATATATATATATATATATATATATATGTTAGAAATACGCAGTCGAGCAGGTTGGAATCTTTGAAAATCTCGCTCTGTGGATATCATAAATTTGGGCATTACAAACGAATTTATAACTAACGTATTATGAAGATTTCATTGGTGATTAAAGTAAAGTGGAAAACCAAAGTTGATTCTTACAAATTCATCCCTTTTATAATTAACAGCGTCTTGTTTGAGGTTACTTCACTGTACGATACTATTCGAGCTTAATATTATTTTGATTTTTGTCGACGAGGCGAGAAATTTTGAACTTGGAAAATCTTGCAATGATATTTTTTCGTGACAGTACAAAAACTGCATTAACAGCTTCTAATTAGATAATTAAATTAGCATATGACTATTGTATACTGTAATCTACATGTGAGATAGTTTGGAAAAATTATATATGTTATATATTAGGTAGGATGTGTTATATATTAGGAGAGAAATAAAAAAATTAATTTTCACGTACTACTAATAAAAATTAGCTAATTAAATGGAATATTGAATTAATTAATTATAAGTATGACGAATTTCATAATTTTGTTAGATAAAAGTGGAGATATAAGTGTAAAAGGGAAAAATCAAAAGAAAAATCTCACCAATCAAGGATTATTTCCTTATAAAAATTATAATCCCATGAAATTAATTATTCTTCCCATAAAACTCTACTTCGTACGTACCTTATTGTTATTTATTTATTTATTTATAGTTTTTTTTTTAATGAAATAATAATTATCTGCTATAAGTGAATAAAACTCGTTATCCATATCTTTAGCTGATTACATCACCGCACAAGAGTACTACCGACTATCAATTAATATTATAGGCAAAAAAACTTGTAGTTTACGAATGTGATAATTAATGGCACATAAACATTTTATTAAATCTGTTTTTTTTTCTTTTAAGACGAGTTAATGTCATTCGTCGTTTGAAATGCCTAACGCCGTGACTCCCGGGGACCATCGGCTATAATAAATCATCACAAAAAAACAACTATTGTTAGGGTATAAATGCATTTCCCGTTGAATTATTCCCAGTAAAAGTCTAAATACATTTTACCCTCCTTCTGCCCCATAAGTGTTATTGTTTATTTCCATTATGAAATTAATGTAGAAGAAATTCGAGCGTGGAAAATTATTGAGAAATGTGTCAAACTCTTCGACGCTCGAATGCGTCCTTCTCTCGGAAGTAGAAAAAGGAAAGAGAGAAAAATTGAGCAGTTTATTGGTCATTGCAGCAACGCGTCTGGAAAAGCGCATATAACAAGGAGAACGAGAACGTCAACGTCTCGTGACTCATTACTCTGCATGCGGACGTTTCTTTTTATTCCCCTCCCCCAATCCCATTCCCCACTCGCTATCACTCACTCTCTCTCTCTCTCACTCTCACTCTCTCTCTCTCTCTCTCTCTCTCTATCCCCTCCACGCCACTCCCCGCCCCGCCATCGGCCGTGTCACCCTCTTCGACGTCCCGCCAGTCGCCCACCCCATCCACGATCCAATGATAAAAGTTAAAAAAAAATCCGGTGACACGTCGCGATGATTCGTTCACTTAGCCGTCCCTATCATCACGACGCTGCTCTTTTCTCTTTTACGTTTTTGCAGAATTAAGATGTCGCTTAGGAAAGAAGCTGCCGCCGCTGCCACCGTCACCGCCGGCGCACTTTATCAGCGAAATTAACAGAATACCCCCCCCCCCCCCAAAATTTGCCGACGGAAAAATCGAGCGCACACGCGGAGCTATTAAAATCATCGATGGATGGGCAAAATCGAGCTTTGCATTTTTCAAAACTTTATTTGCCCTGAAAAAAGGGGATCGGCATTAAAGCGTAAAATTATTCCGATATTTACCTTGATGTAAACGAATCGTCATTTTGATGAAATTACTCAAATATTTGATAGGATATGTAACGAGAATTCAGCTATACGTTGCTGCTACGCATATCTCGTTAACCAAATGACATTCGACGTTACAGATCGCAGGCTTTATATGATTTGACATTTTATTCGTAAAATAATAGCTCGCCATATCTGTCTGGTTGTAACTTTATGCTCAAACCTTTATTTCCGAATTCAATTTGCCATTATTATTATTGATATTATTGTTATTGTCGTCGTTGCTCAGCTACTGCTGTCGTTGTTGTACTTATTTACGAGTTTATAATATGGAAAACTGAATTTTTAATCATTACAGCCTCATTTTTAACTTTAATTATTCAATGGAATTGGCTAATTTTCCTTTATTTTTTTCTTTGTCCCTTTTTTCGAACATATTACGAAATATATATATATATATATATATATATATATATATGCGAATGGATATGCGTTAATAAAATTAAAGCTGCTATACATCAAAATTTACCATTAAATTGTTCTTATAATTTTATATGAATTTTTTTTTTCTTTATAATTTTCAATATTATAACGGCGTTCACGTATTCGTGTAGAATATAAATTATTTTTATCACTACAAAAAGTACGCGTACGACATATTTAATATTATTATTATTGTTGTTGTTGTTATTGTTGTTGTTGTTGCTGTTGTTGTTGTTGTTGTCGTCGTCGTCGTCGTCGTCGTCGTCGTCGTCGTCGGTTTTGTTTTTATTGTTATATTTGACTGAATATAGAACGTAACCAAATAACTTTATGCTTTATAATAAAAAAAACAGAAATTTTTACCCTAAAGACGCATACTAAATAAAGATTTAGTGCCATTGATATTGAAAGGATAGTCGGTACGGAAAAAATAAAACGCGTAAAAACGTCAATACGAGTTTCGATAACGTCGTAGTATGTCGATGCTGAAAAAGATCTTTCAAAGTCACTTCATAATTACAGAAATAAAAATTTCTCTCCTCCTTGCCCATAAAATATCATAAGATAATAAGGCTTACGAGACTGAAAAATAATTAACTTTGTCTCCCATTGGAATGGACTAATGAAAATATCGTTGTCCCATTCTGACGTGCATATCTACGATATTGCCAGCTACAAGTAAAGACGATAAAGACGAAATGTAAAACTGCTTTGCCAGAAAAACTTTAACTCTCCTCTCGTCCACGTAATATAAAAAATTCTTCACCCTCGTATCCCGCGCTTAACAACAATTGCTCCACATCCTCAGCAATAAGCCAGGAGCCTTAAATTAGAGCTTTAAATTACAAATGCCATCGCCCTCCACCCACCACTCCCCACGTCTGTCGATACTTGCGGTCGCGATCCTCGAAAATGAACGGGACGAGCGTGGACGCATGGCCGCCGCTCCTTTGCTTTTCGACATTTAAAATTTAAATGCATGCGGCCGGGGTTAGTAGCAGACGGCGTTCCAAGCACTTAACAATAAAGTGGCTTTGAACAGAAGTGAGCGACTTTTTGCACTCGCGAGGTTGACCCGACACCTCTTTAGAATGCGAGGCGTATATGGTGGTGTCTCTCTCGAGCGGCGGTCGGCGAGCTTAGAATGACTATAAATATGGAAAGCGGGAGGCCGGCGTACCTGTTGCCAATGATCCTCGAGCGACGGCTGGGCCGAGAAGTAGCCGGTGTCGTGTATGTCCTGGAGCTCCCGGAATATGTTACCACTCGGCAGGATATCCATGGCTGCGGCTGTTGCTTACCCGGTAATCACCAGTGGGCACCGTGCACTTTGACTTTGTATCCAAGGGGAGGGGCGGTAGAGGGACGAAGATAACGAACGACGGTACTAATGTCGCCGGGTGCTTTGGCGGTTGAATCGATGGCGCGGGAGCGGGGGGGGGGGGGGGGGGGGGGGGGGGGGGTAACGAATCGGGTCAGGGGCTGTTACAGTGGTAAGGGGCGGAGGAGAGGGTAGATTGTTGAAACTAACCAAACTCCAAACTCCAAACTCCTGGCACTGTCACCGTACTATTATTTTCTCCTTAGCTTATAGCGGTTGTATCCTTATTGAAGGAGTAATGGGCAGTTGCACTATACTTTCGTGAAAGATGGAGGGAGAAAGAGAGAGACAGATAGATAGAAGGATGACTTGTGACTGTATTGGCGTTGATACGATAGGGAATTTGAGGTATTGGGGGTTGAATTGGGGAAAGATGTTGTGAGAGTTGAGTCGGCGGTGTGTATCCTTCTTCTCTCGCGGCTTTCACTTTCTTCGACCGGGACTCACTAAAGGGGTAATCCGTGCTCCGAGGCCTTATCCCGTATCGCGCACACACGCGCGCGCACACTTGGGCACGCGGGACTCAGCCGGCAATGCGCATGATGACGATGACGATGATAATGCACGTGCGTCCGCTCACGCCTCGCTCCCCCGTTATCTCTCACTATCCGTGCCGAACATCACACGCGCACATATGCACGAACGGTGCGGTGACGGGGGCTGGAGCGACCGCGTGTCACGCGCCTGTATAAGTGTGTGCGTGAGCACGCCACGCTCTTACAATTTTGCGTCGATACTTGTGGATATCGATCTATTCGCCAATCATCTACCTATACATACACAAATTGAATTATGTACACACGCAATCACGCACATACCGACATACGCGCGCCTACACACGGGCGTGCGAACAATCGTACGTACGCGCACGTGTGTCGGCACACGCGCGCATATTTTTCTATTACCCACAGACACACGCACGTGCATGCGCAAATACACAAACGCACGCACAACGCATACGCACACGCGCCCCTATACTCATGTGCATATATATCTATATATGTTTAGATAAATGCGTGCGAGCGTTTGTGTTACTCGTATACGTCTGCGCGCAGATGCGTATACGAGTGCGCGCATGTGTTTGTGGACGTACGCGCACGTGTCCGTGCGTATTTTTGGCGTATGTGGGCGTGCGGGTGGATGGGTGCGTACGTTGTTCGCTGATGTGGTGGTAAGGGACCGCACTCTCCTAGGCCATCCTCGCACACGCGCACACTAGAAGGACGAGGACGTCGACGAGAATGACGAGGCGACGCACCTGCACACGCGCACAAGCTCATCCAGAGCCGATAACTGTATTGGTGCGTGCGTGGGCGGCGCGGACGAGAGACACCGGGAGGATGTCACTCGAGCGCACCGGGAGACCGGAGGATGTCGCCGGCGGCGGTTGCGCCCCGGCCCACGTTCCTCATAATGGCCCGGGCTCCTGGGCCGCCGCTGCTGCCTCCTTCTCCTCACTCCTTCACTCGCTGGTGTTGGGTGCACACGCACACGCGCACGCACACGCGCGCCGACTGACAGACCGCGGACAGGGGTCTCTTTGCGTGCGCGCGGAACGTGGCGGACGGGATATTGGGGGACGGGGGGGAAAAAAAGGGGGGGGTGAGAGGGAGAACACAGATAGACAGAGAGACAGAAGACAGACGGGCAGAGAGACGGAGGCCGTCGCGCTCTCAGCGGCGAGGATGCACGCGACTCGGGGGGACAGAGTTTGCCGCGCGAGCGCCCAACGGTGACTGGCGCTCGTTCTTCCGGCTCCTCGCCACCACCTCCTCGTGGCGCCGCCGCAGCCGCCGTCGCCGTCGAGCAGCCGAGGCCGGCCGAGCGCGACCGAGCCGGGGCCGTGGAGGGGAGCCGGTGCCGACTCCCGGAGGCGGCAGCACCGCTCGAGACCCGCGGCACAGACCCCCGGCATGTGTTTACGGGGCCGAGGCGCATCAATTCCACGACGTCCTGAGGGCCGGCGATCGCGACACCGGATCGCTCATCGAGTCGGACACCTACCCTACGTACCCTGGCCCATTACTACCTACGGGAGAATCTGGCATAAGTATCGGTGTATCGAGGATTATCGAGTCGTCGCTACTATGGGTAGGGCGTTGAGGCGATGGTCCTGGCCGTCGTTGAGTCCACGGCAACGGGGACTTACGTGGGACTATCGGCAGTCCAGGTGGCAGACAACGACCACACTCGAGGAATCGGAAAATTCCGTTGACAAGTCCGGGAGAGAAATGTTGTACCGAGTTGACTTGAATTATCTCGAGATTATAACAAACACGTTTCGAACGAAGCCTCTCGGGCTCCTCCGGACTCATTAGTGAAGCTGGAATGGTCAATTGGCTTATTGAAGGTAATAAATAACTCCGTAGAAGTCGAGTGATATCAAACGAATATTTACACGCTATGTTTTATCTATAAAAGTATGTCGTATATTGTGACTGCGGTCCTCACCCCTCACCGTGCCCATCAGCCCAATTCAGCCAACCCACCGCAGCCACCGTCACCACCATCGACCCATTACAAACTTTCGTCAATTATCAATTTATCTAATTGACTCCGAGACAGGAGAGTAATAAAAGTTACGAGTTTGAAAAATTGACATTACCTGCCAGGATGATGATCGAAATAAAAATTTGAACTATATGCGGCTAGATTGGTGCTCCCCCCCCCCCCCCCCCCCAAAACCCCCCCCCCCCCACGCGCCGACACAACGCCCCGTAATAAACAGTGGCTGATCGATGTAACGGGCTGTTAAAGGATCGCGATTCGATACGAGCAAAATTCACAATCCGCATTAATATTTGCCTTTCGTTCTTTTACGCGAAGATCGGCTCTTCGTTACGAATGTGCAAAGAAAACTTCATTTACATAATTAGAAAAAATATGTGACTCATCGTTTGAAAAATACGACAAACTTGACCGAAAAATAGGAAAAAGTAATTGCCCCGTGCGCTGTTAAAAAACAATGATCGATTCACCGAATGTAAAAAACGTTCATATTTAAATGGGAAATCAAATAATCAAGAATTAAAATTTCCCATAAGCTTTTTCTATGTGAAAAGCTGTACCTTTCTATTCGATTTTTGCTAATTTGAGGCTTTATACTTGAACTATGTATGTTGGTAGCATATTTATTATACATCGATAAGCCGTGAAAGGTAATTTAATAATGAAATTTCAAAGTTACGATTATGCATTCTCGCAATGCGCAAACTCTCGGTTTTCGAAAAACGATGATTTTTATGTTCTCTGGATTACTTTCTTTATTCCATTGAAAAATAAATGCAATGTCGCACTTTAGTTATAGATTAAGATGCACACAAACCGAATTGTTCTGATAATATACATAATAACCGTCGAATTTCTTGTTTTATAATAACAATACTTTTTACGATACTTGTCACTGTTAACAATCGCTAATTATTAATTGAAAAATGATCTTTGAAAATCATATAATGATGAGATAGCAAAATTTCATTTCCTTCGTGCATTAAATTAATTAATCGGGACGTGAAATCCATTTGAAATTGAAATTAAAATTCTTTTAAAAATCTTATTAAACATTGTCTAATAAACTTTTTCAGAATTTAAGTAATAAAGTACAGATGTTGATTTATTGACTCTGCAACAATTGGTGAAAACTATTTACTTAATTATTTCATATTTCATTAATGTACCGAAATTTGTTCATTAATGTATTAAAACGGCTCAAACTCTCTCTTAAATTTTATCAAGATTCCACATAAATTCTTATTATTTTGAATACATTTCTTATTATACCAATTACGAATAATCAGCAATACAAATTGAAAGTTACAATAATGATATATTATTACTTTACATATTATTATGACTCGATTATGATTAATAATCATTAAGTAATATGAATCGACGATATTTTTATATTATTCCGCAATATAACGAAAATTGTCATAAAAAAATATAAAAATGGCATTTGAAATTATCATGTTCGATTTTTTTTAAATTTTTTCTTATTTCCAAAAATCAGTGCACATATTTACTTCCAGATTATCAAGATCACACATCAGTTACACAATATTAGACTTTTCGTTATTTGAATTGAACGGGCAAGACTGCAACGTCGCGCATAGTACTCATCAACTAGAAATTGAAAAATATATTTTTAGATCTTATGCATGATAAATATTCTCAAGATTATTAATTTGGATGTTGGGTTATTTGAATTTACATGAAAATCTCATCAAGCAGCCAAGTTAATTTACTATTCAAGTTTCTTTCACGCCTTTTGACTAAATTTTTGTTTATTGATTTTCTCGACGAAACTTTATTTTGTATTTGGTTTTTTTTAATTATCCAATTCTGCGAAATTGTTTCAATTTTCTTTTATTAGTTTTTGCTTGTTATCTTGTTATTTTATTTTAATAGTACGACGAAACTATACTTAAGAGAAACTAAAATCGATATCTTTTTTTATATAGGTTTTTCCTTTCATTTTGTTTTATTTATTTATTTATTTATTGTTTTTTTTTTCTTTTTTTTTTTTTTTTCTTTTTTCTTTTTCTTTTTTTTGTTTCTTATACAATATATAACGTCACTCTTCCATTATCTATCTCTGTAAAGTTTGCTGAAAATCAAGTAAAAGCAGAGGTGACGACTTTGTTATTTAAACAGTTTAAAATGAAATTTGATAAACATGATGCTTCGTTCAAGTAGCTGCATTTGTATAAGCAAAAGGTTTGAGAAAACTGAATGTTCATAATTTATTAGCAATATAATAGAAACCAATAACTAAATAAATAAAAGAAAAATAGAAAATGATTTAAGAAAAAAATTTATTATATCAAAAGCAGCTGAGAGCAGTGATTATTTTTCTTTTTAAAATTCAAACTTGTGTTTAGTAGCAAAATTTTTATACGAAAGTATTGTATATTTATTTTCGTATAATGCAATCGTCACTACACTCGTACGTTAAAATATTTTTGGCTAGCTATTGAAACCATCTAAACATGAAAATGCAAAAGAGTACAAAAGCGTTTTTAATGCATTCGTTGCTCA